GCTACTCTAGCAACAATGTTTTATTTCATCACAATGAGACAGACACAGCAGTAAAATTAGCCTTGTAAAACTACTTGTTGTTTAAAAAGTAATGTCAGTGTGAGCAATGGCTACACAACTCGACCGTTTAACATGTGTATTATACTATATTACTATATTTAACTTTACAATATTTTTTTTCATTATTTCTATAAGGGTAATTTTTAGGAGATATGAAAAGAAAAGGGCTTGTGGAAGGGTTTTAAAATTAACTAGAAAATTCCTGCAGAAATTTTAAAGGGCCTGCCGAAATGTGCCCATCACTTTAAACCCAGCGTTTCAGATTTGCCCTGAGAAATAGATCAATGCAGGTCTGACATATTTAACCCGCCACTAGAGCGCAGTGACTGAAGGTATTGTAAGATATATCATAGTGATATAGATGAACTGAGTCACCATTAAAATGCAATGTTAAACACCAAGTCAGTGACGTTTAGTCCGAGACCGACGACTATAAGCTTCGAATCATTTTGAATCATGGTTCAAAATAAGTTAGTAATTCTTTATATCTAAAAAAAAAATAAAAAAAATACAATTTTCATACTAAGGATTTTAATTTACACTCAAATATTCAGAGAAGTAATAATTTTATGTAAGCAAAACATGAATAGTCACAGGAAATATGTATTCTTCCCACAATGCATTGTGAGATCTGATTCAGCGCTGTGAGACTACTCACTGCCTCTGTCTAGGACCCGTTGCTATGGTAATTAATTATCTGCACCTGGGCTGGCCCTCTCTGTCAGGCAGGATGCTGGTTTCTATACTTGTGAGACACCCAGCGTCGGTCTCAGGGCCCTGACAAAAAAACCATAAGCCCTAGGAAAATTTTGAAAACATTTTACAGGAGCAGGAGCAGGCATGTGTATCTATGTCATGACCAACTTTGAGATCAATAGGCCGATATTTATGCCTGTGAGGGGGAGTTAAAAAGAGTTTTGGAGTCAGACCTCCACTGTCCTGTGTGTGTGTTTCAGAGAGAAATCTTAGTGATTCTGTGAGACACAGCCTAAACTTTTCTCGTTTTTCTCAATTTATGTCGTCATTTTATCTCAGAATCCCAATAAAAATAATAGCTCCCTTCTCGGCATCGAGCCGCACGATTTGATACCACTTTTGTGGGGGTACACGCAGGGCTCCGAGCCGCATTAACGGTGATGGAAGAATAATAAATAACTAGAAAATTCCTGCAG